TCAAGCGAGTTTGTGTGTGTGTGTGTGTGTGTGTGTGTGTGTGCGCGCGCGCGCGTGCGTGTGTGTGTGTGTGTGTGTGAGAGAGAGAGAGAGAGAATGCGATCGCATATGCGTGCTTATATATATATATATATATATATATATATATATATCAAATACACATTTGACTGCATGTGTATATAGTTGCTAATTATTTAATTAAAAAGTAGTCGATTCAACAGTAGTTCGACATCGAAATCAATTAACCAACTATCAACCTCTTCGACATCGAAAAAGTCGTGAATGTTGTATCAACGTCTCCTTTCTGACTATTTTTATTTAGATGATTATGTGGCTCTTCTAAAATTCATTCAATATATGAAAATCTATAATATCACGTAATATAAATTGTATATTTTTAGCGCTGGCGTTGAATTTCGAAACATAGCCATAATTGTGTAAATTATATTAATTAAGTTAAGTTTATCACAATTTTGAGGTTGTTATATAACAATTAGAAAACTTCAGACATAAATTATAATAGAATAATTTTGTATATAATATTTTAAAATTTAAGACCACAGACATAAAAATATTTCAAGGATTTTTTTTTGTGAAATATGTCAAATATATGTTTTAATATGTCAAATAGATAAAAATTCGAAAAAATAAAATCGAATTTCAAATGTTACATTCAGACAGCTGCATTTAGGGGCGAAATGCCATTATTTTTTCTATTGCATATCTTCGGGAATACAACACCTTGTCTAATTCCACCATGGTCAGTAATAATAGAAAAAGTCGAAACAAAGGAATATCCGAGTCTGAATCGAAAGTTTCAGTCAAAGATGATGTAATGCCCGTGAAAATGGTGCAGCCCGCCGAACACGGGCGCCTGCATACGGTATCGCTCAAACACGCATTAGAACCATGGAAGGTGAAAGGGATGACATGGTATACTCAGTTTACAAGCGTCTCTCTCTCTCTCTCTCTCTCTTCCTCTCTCCCTCTCCCTCCCCCCCTCTCTCTCTAATCTCCGTTTCTGTCTATGAATGTCGCGTGAGATTCAAAGACTGCCAACTGTGAAACACAAAACATGAGGTGGTATTCATAGTCTGTTTTTATTTTAAAACTGTCTTAAATGTTTTAGATACTAATACAGTCCTTGAATTAACTTGTGACATCTTAAAACTGTACTTAAGTCTTAAATGTAAGAATCGACTGTGAATACTGACCTGTTTTGCGTCGTGAAATTGGTACTGAATCTTTCCTTGTTTGTAACACACTTTATGTTCTCTTTATATAGGATGTCCCAAAAGTTTTTGCCAATCGCTTTTATGTTGATAGAGCGGACTAAACTGAGTCGAAAACTCTTTTACTATTTTGCAATTTTCGCAATAGTTAATAAGATATTAATTACTAAAAATTACTAATTACTAATTGGTCTCGAATAATTTTTTACTCAAATACTAGATAATACTACTCAATACTACTCAACTTTATAGAAAAGCTGCAAGAGACAAAACTCATTTATTTTCTTCTCATAAAGTTCTGAGAATTTTTTCAGAAATTTTCCAGAATTTTTTAATACGGTATTTTCTCATGTTGATAAAAATAAGAAAATGTAGTACTAAAAAGTTGATAAAAAATTCCGAAAAAATTCTATGAGAAGAAAATAAATGATTTTTGACTCTTGCAGTTTTTCTATAAAGTTGATAGTATTTGAATAAAAAATTATTCAAGACCAATTTGGCAATTTTTAGTAATTAATATCTTGTTAACTATTGCGAAAATTGTAAAATGGTAGAGGACTTTTCGGCTCAGTTTAGTCTGCTCTATCTTAAGAAGGTTCTTCATCTTAAAAAAGTGGAAGGGATATAATATAACAATTAAGTGAGTGCTGAGTAATTATTGTCTGTGTGATTGGAGTATATCTTGCACACTTCAAAACGCAATCTAACTTGCCGCTAAATTCGCTTGAATACGCACATGCTCATGCCATCTAATAAGTGGAGTATAAAGAATAGGAGACCTAGGTTTTGAAAAGTGTAGTCAAAATCAGGTTTCTGAATTGGTATTGGTGATACTCGGTAGGCGGCGTTCGAATCGCAAAACTCCTCCTATATGCTTACGCACACACATATAACTTAAAAATAGAAACGTTATTCTTTGACATCAGGTACTCTGACAGTAATAGGAAGACGTAAATTGTCACTAAATAGAGCATTCTTTATATAAAATTGGTATGACTTACTATGCAAACTGCGAGAACGGTGTGGTAGAACGAAAGCAACATCTCGATCGAATTCAGATGACCACTTTTGATCACGCTTTTTTACGGCCTCGTCCATATAAGTTTGGTCTCCTATTCTCTATACTCAATGCATCCAGATTGGAGTATATCTTTAAATCCACGATAAATTTAGAAGAATATATCAATTACAACATTACTTATTCAATTGTTATACCCACTAAACGAGCCAGTGAAATTTAAATCCTCTTTTATAAAAATGCCAAGACATGACCGCGTCTGGTAATTTGAACAACGCGCGCTTTTATTATGGTGTGACATTACCACGTTTTCAGTTTTGACGTCATATTTAAAGAGAAATGAATAATTTATGAACATTTCATAGTCTCACATAAAAATAATAAAATTTCAATTTTTTTTATTCTGAAATGTTCTTTAAATTTTATTCCTTCACAAGAATATAATTTTAAATTTTCTTATATTTTGTTTTTGAATAAATTACTTAAAATCCTCTTTCTCATAATGTATTTTAGAAAATTATGTAAAGGAAATTATATGGTAAAAAAATTTGAAAAAATTCAGGATTGTCTCTATTTTTAAAATAAATTTATTCTCAAAATTTGATCGAATTCCTATATTATGAAATGATTGGAGAACTTCCTTAAGTACAGTTTTAAGATGTCATGAGTTAATCCGAGAACTGTATTAGCATCTTAAGACATTATTTAAGATAGTTTTAAAATAAAAACAGACTATGAATACCGTCTCATGTTTCACAGTTTACAGCTTTTGAATCTCACGCAACATTCATAGACAAAAACGGCGGAGATTTAGAGAGAGACGTTTGCAAACTGAGCATACCATGTTATCCCTTCCACCATGATTAGAACGGACGATCGAATTGTCCAGAGTCCTTATTCTTGAACAAATATCGCATACGAAAATTGCAATTCCGTATACAATCGACTAATCACAATCGAGAAACTGTCATTTTTGTATGTGAAAATTATTCCTATATGCTCAAGAAGAGCCAACGAACAAAGTTATGTCAAACAAGGCACGATCAAAAACCGACCGAAATATAAAAAAATTTCTTTTAAACTGCGAAAGACCTCCGAACTGAAATGCATCCGCTGTAACAACGCTGATACAATAGAGAACAATATTCAAGAAGTTTTAGTCGATCGAACATCTGGGGGTAATACTAATAATGGCGGTACTGTAACTTTCAAACCTTATAATTCGAAAAATACTTAATAAAAATGAACTTTATTGGAGCGTTTTACAAAGCTTTTCGGAATTATTACATTCTGGAATAAAAAATAGGATGTTCCAGTAAAAAAAAAATCAACATGATCTTGACCTGATCTTGGCGAAACCATTCGACGTCAAACTCACCAGATCAGTAAATACATTTTGAACCCTACAATTTTTGTCTGAAACATTTTTGTCAAAAATGCTTCTTTTTCGAAATATTTAACCGTTTCTGGACTTTTTGAGGACTTGTATGTATATCGAGTATATATTGATAGATTTCTTTATTTTACAAGATACTTTTTAATAAATAACCATTTAAATGCAAAAAAATTGTTTTTTAAATGCGATATTGCTTCTAAAACATTAACATGAGTACGAAGGATTATTTTTTGCAACAAACTGCATTTCAAAACTACGTTTTTATTTCTTATCCTTTTGGTAGATTTAAATATACATAAAATTTGCATATACATAATGTGTACGTATATATATATATATATATATATATACGTACACATTATGTATATGCAAATTTTATGTATATTTTATGTGTTTCAGCTTGGATCATTGGTTAAGAAGAGACGTGTTGAATGAAAAAATTTGCTACTTAAAGAGATTATGCTTGGTCGTCTTTATCTTATTCTAATTGCATTTTATTGATAACTACATATATACTTATTGCCAAATACACTATTTACAAATATTTATGTAATGATAACATCTTTATTTAGAAATAATGATGACATGGTCAGTGAATGATAAATTGCGTGTACTTTGCGAAATGTGCTGATTTAGCGAGTAAAATGAAACCTTTAATAAACTTTTGTATATTAACTGAATTTCATTTGATTATGTCATCATGTATGGCTTAATAAATACCAATTGTATCCTCAATGATAAATATTTCACAATATATAGTTGTATATTTGGACAAATTATATCTTACATTAATTTTTTTTATTCTCATATAAAAATAGCAATTACATTAAAAAATTTTTAAGAATTTACGACTTCTCGTAGCGTTTTTTGTACTCGCCATGTGGATCATATTTAGTAACGAGACGATCCCAATCTCTAGATCGTTTTGCTTTAAGATGATTTATCACCTTCTCCGCCATAACTTTCTGTTTATCGTTGCATTTACTGCAATTATTCGACAAAGCATCCGGCAGAGTTTCTATAAATAAAAAAGTACATTTTATTATTTTGATACTAGCTAAATACTAGCTAAAACTTAAATTAGTTCCAAACACACGGCACAATATATTCAATGAATGTTATTGTAATATTAATTATACTTTTATAAGAGCATAATCGAATAAAGTTCTTGCAGAAATCTGTTAAATTAATAAAGAACTGGAAAAAAATCTGTAAAATTAGTAAAGAATTGGGAAAAAAATTACAATTATATATTATGTGTGTGTGTGTGTGTGTGTGTGTGTGTGTGTGTGTTTTACAATCAATGAGTTTTATCAATATTTAATAAAGGAAATTCTGACATATTTGTACGGAAATGTTCATCCTTCAATTACGTGATTTAATAAATTCTCGTCTTTAAAAGTTCCGAATGATGAATTATATACTTTTAATTGCTGACTAAACATTAATTTTAATTTCAGATTTCAAGAATTCTTAGGAGGATCCCGTTTGCATACATTTCTGATTGCATACCATGACTCACGTAAGCTCTTACCTAAAAATTTTTCACGTATGCGTGTGTCATCTATAAGAATATTTTATATTAAATTAATGAATTAGTGCGCAATATGTATGCAATCGAAGTTCTTTCGAATTCTCATGTATAAATGTAATACTACCAACTGAATTTTTATGTTTTGTAAACTAGATCTAATCTAGTTACTAATATAGATCTTAATTTTAATTTTCATATATAAATTTGTTATTATATAAATTTGTATACTATAGTTTTTATATAGCCTCATCAATTTCTTTTATTAAATTGACACTTTTTATAAAATTATTGCTCATTCCATGGCTTCATAATTTCTAAAAAAATTTTTTATGTTATATTACTATAAAATGTTTAAATTTAGTATATAATTAACATTATTATAATTATTAATATTTAAATGTAACAGTATTAATGATTAATTAAATGCACGCTGTGTTTTATTGTTTATGTAATTGAAATTTTTTATATAAATTGGAATACTTTTCAGAGAATTACTGAGAAAGTTTATATCTTTTTTTTTTTAAATTTTTTTATATATTTGTATATAAGTTTTAATGTATTCTAAAAATGTAATATACTCTATATATAAAAGATAGTGAATTTTAAAATGTTCTATAAAATATTTTATTTCTAAGATTTCTCTTATTCTGTAATTTTTGAAGAAGACTTATAAAGTTCGAAGATATTTTACAGAAATCTTTATAAATTCGAAATATAACATATTTTTATAGATATTAGAATATTTTTATTAGAGATAATAAATAAAATAATTGATGAAGATTAAAACTTGACTATTTATTGTACATGAATTTCATAATACAAAAATTCTGTATCTTAACAAATATAATATAATATATAGATGCAAATATGAAATGAAATTTGCAATTCACAAACTTTATAAGATAAAGCTCATATAAACTAACTCATATAAACTATAATAACTATATTGAATAACAATATAAATACATATATACAATATATATATATATATATATATATATACACACACACACACATACAATTCAAAAATTATGTAAATTTAATAATATAGAGTTTACGTATGTGCAAACTTCACACATTATTACGCACATGTAAAAGAAAGCCCGGATGTAACGCGCGAGAAAGTTCGTAGCAATAATTATGTAACAGAGAGAGAGAGTGCATGTTGAATTCTCTACTGTAATTACAATTACAATCTATATTTGTTCGTTCTGTGTTTGAATATTTTCTAATTGAAAAATTCCAAGCAAAGTGCTGAATATTTAGTTTTATTCCAAATAAAAAATAAGAACAGAAACGTTATTGTAACTTTTAAAGTCTAAATCAATTAAATGCTTCTATGCTCGACTCTTCAATTTCTTTTTTTCTACTTACTTCTCAGCTCGCGACCTTCAGCAGTACAAGGTCCCTCGTCCATTAGGCACCGAATGTAATTGGTGAGAACACGATTATTTTCGAGGATCTTGTCCACGTTAACATCGTCGTATTTTCTGGTATACTTTTCGTTTGCAATAGCCAAAGTCACCAGTGAGATCAATAAAATCAGAAAATATCCCTTCATCGTACGTTAAGATATTACAGATGCAGAAAAATCAATGAATATAAAAAAAGAATAATTTTTTTAGCTGACGAGATCGCAGGCAAGAGCGAAAAACTAAAGCGATCCATCAGTGGCGACTGGCTTTTATATAGTCGAGTGGAGGATGGAGGATGGAGGCCGAACGGAGGGGCCTCTCGTCGCACAATAACCCGAACATTCCAATTGCCTCTCAGTATACAATGTGGATGCTTTCTCAGAAATTTCCAAGAGACATAGATATTTTATTATATATATAGTGTAACACATAGTGAATCATAATTATATATTCTTGTTATTTGCAATGTTAAACAAAGATGAAATGATTAATAATGTACGTTACATTGATGTACGTTTTGCTGAAAGCATCATATATCTGAATGCTTGTGCTCTACCAACATTTTAATTATTCATTTCACTTTTATCTATATCGATTTGATTGTGATTGAAATGATACAACATATTCCCAACAAAAGTAGATATATTATAAATTATATAAAAACTATCAACTTTCATCTGTACATGTCGGTGTAATAATCTTAACTAAATCTTTAATTATTATATAATTCCAAGAATATATAATAAATACGATTAGTAATTATAATAAAATTATCTTGAATTATCAGAGAATTTTCAAGTTGTCTTATAAAATGTATATGATATGCAATCTTTTTGTATGTATGTTACAACGTTAGAATCTTTTATCTAATTGTAAGTTATTAAAATGCATAACCCGTCGAGTCTTTGACCCACTTTATTAGCGGATTACACCGAGAGAAACTTAATTGGTAAAATCATGTACTTAATCTGTTAAATTTTTTATTGTCCCGAAATGTAAAATATTTGATATTATAAGATGTTGATCTATAAAGTTTATAAAATCGTATATTTTTGTTATAATTTATTGATTAAACTTTTCATGATAGAAATGCTACATTATTATATTTAAAAACAATTATGTTACATTTTTCCACTTTGAATTTTTACGTATCAATATCATAACTTTAATAAAAATACATTAATGTGATGAATAATGCTTTCAAGAATCGTTCATGAAGTAATAACGCATTAAATGACACAAGCTGTCGAAACACGTGTCTCATGAGGAGAAAGTGGTTGAAAAATTTTTCGATGAACCGTTATAAATGTATCCATAAAAATTAATACGTGCGTTTACTAGAGTGGAGTGGAAAAACAAAAAATTCGATATAGCGCATTTGGAAAATTTGTAGCAAGAGTCTATACACACACACACATATATATAATATATATTATATATATATATATATATATATATATATATATATATAGAAACAGGCCTATAAAATTTTATTTCGATGAAATAATTTTTATCTTTGCCGTGTATAAGCTATATTTATAGGTCATTTAAAAAGTACGCGCGGTTTTTTCATTCAAAAATTGAACAAAAAACCGCGGATACTTTTTAAATGACCTAATATTTTTAAGGACTGGTATAAGATGTCATTCCCTAATTCATATCATATTTCAGATTGATCGTTTAATAATTTTTAAGATTTTCTATTATTTATGTTTCAAGAGTTGAAAATCAATTTTTAAATAAACTTTTTATCCCTACGTTTGGCGGTGGTTTTTAGTAAATAGATAGCACATACAGCGATTTTACAGTTTTCGAACATTTGCGTTAATTACTACAACTTATTCTATTTATTCGATTTAAAAAAAAAATCGATTTCTAAAAAAAAAGTCCATTCGCTTAGATTCATAAATCTTTCTTTCACGTCATTACAACTTTTTCCCTAAAGTTAATTTCACTTTTCATGTTTCCGTCTTAGAGAAAAAGTTACTGACCGTGTTGATATTTCCAGTATTCCCACTCGAATGCGACCATTAGCCATTAGCCCGAAAACAATAGATTTTTAGACCTTAAGCCATAAGGAATGGATGAATCACAATCAATTATTTTCTTCGCATTCGACTGTAATTGGTCAATTTCTTACGACTTAAGCTTAAAATATCTATTGTAGATTCGAATTTATTTCTTTTGTTTATTACGGAATCGCGCCCCAGGTCAGCCTTGTTTAATATATTTGCGAGGCTTCCTAAATTTCTTCTCCGAGGAAAATTTTGGACTCGAAATACGTTACGTATACTATAGCATACAGAGTAAAATTTTCCTCGGAGAGGAAGTTTTGGAACGTAGGCGTCTAAAGTTAGGATGTCATCTCATGTACAGAGAATCGGAATGACGGAATAAATTTCTTACTAAAAATCAGTTCGTTAGCATTCCGTTCCGTAACAAGTTCTTCTACTGTATCGGAACCACCGGAATCATGGCGGAAACAGTATAGAAACGATATGAAATCAACGGAATGTCATGTAGATTGTAGGCTATATCGATTCGGCTATTGTTGATGGTTGAGAATTTGACAACTTCGAAGAAGAAAAATTAATAATTCTTATTTTTCAATACGATATATTCTTGTTTTATATATACATAGTTCAACTATAATGCCAGCAATTCTTTAAATAATTGATGTCATTCTGAAATAATTGAAGAATGACTTCTCATTCGATTGTTTCCCTGGCGAAAATACGGAACTTTATAAAACGTTGACAACCGTTCAATGACGATTTTTTAAGAGTTTATACGTTTTCAAACTTTATAAGAACACTTACAGAACACTATTAGGTTTTAAACACTTTTAGAACGCTTATAAAATACAGTATATATCGTTTTATGAAAGTTCTGTAATGCTAAAGTAACGCTTTCCAAAGGATGCTCAGTAAACGTGGATGCGCCTTCGTGCAGAGAGTTCACTGTCAGATTTTTCAAACATTTAGCAAATGCTTTTCTCAATACCGACAAATATTTTTCTTCTATTCAATAAACGCTGTTCCAACATGGCGAATTATTGAATCTCAGTAAATGTTTTGTAAGGCTTTTACGCAAACGGCTTAAAGACGCCCAAAAACCGTTTTTCTCAACTCCATAACGCAAGTGTTTTTCTTCCATTTAGCAAACATTCTTTTACATATCCGATTTTCAAGTAGTGCACGACATGGCCGCTAGAGGGACACAGTGAAATTCAATTTCTCGCATTTAAAAAACCACATCAAGTAGGATAAAAGGCGCGGTATGATGAGACTTTTCAATAAAAAATTTTGTATTTTTTTTTTTAATAAAATGTCTGCGCAGGCTCAAAACTTGAACTGAACGTTCATGTACGTTCATACATTTTATGAACACTCTACTGACCGTTTCTAAATTCTCAACGAATTTCTGCAAACGCTCAACAATGTAAAGGTTAAACAAACACTTATGAAACTTCTCATTTTCGTCAGGATTGCATTTTTCAAGGACTAAATTGTCATTTGAGCCTTGGTACGCCACCTCATTCTTTGTGTAAATATTGACTGTATTTAGAATTTTCGTTTTCTTGTTTATTTCTGCTGTTGCAATAAAACGTTATAAATGAAATAAAATTTTCGCACACTCTTAACGAAATAGCACGCCAACACTTCTTACCTTTCGCAATAATTTTAACATTAGTAATAACACTATTTCTTCATCCATCGTTGTAGATTTACAAAAAATGTTTCTGAATATTCGTTTCAATTTTTAGATTCAACCAACTCAGCTGAACATGCTATTCCGTAAAAATTGTCTCTACCCATCCCATGTCGCCAGAACAATGGAATTTTAGTAACAAAATATATTTTACTCTTATCAGTATTTTTTGAGTATTCAAAATAATATTATAGGTAAGATAGAATTGCATAAATTGCACACATTACTGCTTTAGTCGCATTAAAGTAACGAAATATCGATTAAATTAAGCAAATCAGCTTGCGACCGAGGCAACATTCCGTTTATATGGGACGGATAGAGAAATTTCTTACAGAACGGAATTGTAGTGAACTCAATTTTCTAGTAAGAAATCTGTTCTGTCGTTCCGATTTCGTGTACATGATTCCTTACGGAATCCGCACAGTTTCCAGGCGAACACGCTCCTGGAAACACGGTATTGGAAAAAAAATCCCTATTGAGTTCATTCCGCGCCAAAAGCCGTCGTTCTCTCTTTGGCCAATGTCGTCTGACCGATGAATGGAATGGGAGAAAAGATGGACGCCTTGACGTTGGGCTCGCACAGGTAAGGTAACACGACTGATAAGACTGACATAAATCTCCGCGTATTTCTCGGTGAATGAAATGTTGCAACTTGGTAAATCATCCTTTCTTTTTCAGGCTGGTCCACCTTGACTTGAAAGGCGCACCGCCGCGGACTTGTTACTTCGAAAAGGTACACACGGCGTGTGAACGCTTAAGTTAAGGCTAATAGCCTCTTCTCTCATCTCTGTGCGTTAACGCATTCGGAAACTCGCACCGTTTATTATTTTCCCATTTTAAATTCGTGCGACGGGCACATTCCTCTTTCGCCTCAGCACTGTCCGGTATATAATCTTGATTTCTTTCGCTCGTTACGAATTGCGTTTTGAACTTGTCACACGCTCGTGGCTTTTGTTTACACTTGGACTTTTACGATATGACGAGAAACACAAAATACAAATGAATGCTACACCCTCGGAAATTGTCAGAAATTGTAGTTTACTTACTGAGGTGCTTTCTCTTTAATGGACAAATATATATTTATCTTATTGTACACAAAATTTTATCTTTCCAGCAAGAGAAAGTGTAACATTGTTTGTCCTTGTTCTTGTTTAATATTTGATAAACAATGATGACATTTGATGACATGATTCCATGAGCCTTAAATGGAACGCAAGTTGACGCAATTGTACACAGATAAAATCTTGTGTACAATAAGATAAATATATATTTGTGCATTAAAGAGAAAGCAAAGATGCTTAGTGCAGAAAGTGTAAGCAACACAAATCTCTTGTTTTACATCTAATGAATGATAAAGACAGAATGATGATTATAAACACTTTAAATCATGTGAACGTCGAAACCGAACGCAGCCATAATCCCTAATATAAATTCTCTGAACGCAATCAATTGTGTTTGTGATGTTTGTGTCTCTTGCTGGAAAGCACTAATGCAACTGAATCCAAAAATGTACTCCTGGTGGTCTGGTGGATATGTGATGAATGAAAATTTAATGCTGTAAATAAGAACGAAATATATATATATATACATATATGTAATATATATATCATTGATGAAAAAAACATTAAACTCCTTATTGCATTTGCACTTCGTGTATTTGATTAATCGATGAATTAAAAAATAATTATGACTGAATATAATTTACAGCTTTTTCCACTGTTGCGAACATGGGGAGCTACTGGACTATTATTGGAATGGGAAGACACGTTTCCTTACAACCGAGAACTCTCTCCAATAGGAAGCAATGGTCCGAGCACTTTAGCGAGTGGATACACAGTTCAGGAAGCTAGACATATCCTGCAGATTGCGGGTGATTGCGGTTTAGCAGTTGTTCCGTTGGTACAAACTTTTGGTCATATGGAGGTATAGCAAAAATTATTTCATTGATTTTATATTGGATTATTTTATACGAAGCTTGTGTAGCTATTTAAAATTCAAGAGATTATTTTCAAATTCCAGTTATGGTGTTATTTATTATGATTTTAAATTCCAGTTTATTTTGAAACATGACGAATGGAGATCATTACGCGAAGTGGAGCCTTTTCCAAGTTCTATTTGCCCATCAAATCCGAGAACTCTTTTAGTGGTGAAGTCGTTGATACGTCAGATTGTTAGCTTTCATCCTGATATACAGTATCTGCATATAGGATCTGATGAAGTATGGCACCTAGGCCTTTGCTCAGTCTGTACCAAACGAGCTGCAGCTAGCAAATATGGCAAATCATCGTTGTATCTGGAACATATTCTGACGATAGCCCAATACATTCAGGAAACCTATCCATACCTAAAGATCATCATCTGGGATGACATGCTGAGATCGATAGATTTACAGGTTTTGAACGGTATCTTGCTGCAGCTTAATTGCATCGTTTGATCGCGCAGACTTCTTCATGCGATCGATATTTCTTTCTTTTTGTAGAACATTACATTGGCAAATATGTGGAACCCATGGTGTGGCATTACAATCCCAGAGACAATTTTGCATTACCTGATGGTATTTTTTCTTTTTTCCTTTTTTATATACTAAGAAATTTAAAAATATTTGCTAGATTGTAACCGTTATATTAAATTATTAGGATTGTGGGATAAGTACAGCACGGTCTTTCCCAATATTTGGACAGCAACCGCATTCAAAGGAGCTACCGGTTCTGTACAACATATACCTATAATACGACATCACATAAGCAATCATGAAAAATGGTTGGAAGAACTGGGAGTTCATGTGAGTAAGGTGCATGAATTTCGTGGTACAGCATTCACCGGTTGGTCAAGGTAAGATAAATCAGAAAATGTTCAAGAACTATCTTGAAATATTGATCATTGACTGTATGTATTGATCAATGATAATTTTAGGTATGATCATTATGCCACACTGTGTGAATTGTTGCCCACAGCGATACCATCATTAGCTCTATGTTTGAAAGTTTGGCTCTATGGTTATTCGGAACAAACGCACACCCAGGTTGCAAAGAGCTTGGGATATATTGATCATCCGTTGCATATAACTCCACAGCTTAGACCAGTTCCGATCCCTAGCAATTTACTTTTTCCCGGATGGCAAGTAGCTGTGGGCATGGAGTGGTTTCTTAACTTCAAGACAAAATTTCACAATATTATCACCAGCGATCAGTAAGCATAGAGAACTCTTTATATATCTGTAATTTTTATTTTAAATTTGTAAAACATTTTTGGTAACTTTTTGTCCTTTGACAATTTCTTTAGAAGAAATAGGATTATTTGCATACAAAATGAAATATCTTTCAGTATATCTAAAAAAAAAAACCAAAGCTTTTTCTCTTAAGAAATTCAAAGAAGCTGAGAGATGTTGCGTATCGATCGTATTTATAAAATTATTATTCCCGGACAGGATCATGACGTGGATGAATTCATGGCAAGTGGCAAATAATTACACAAATCCCATGCAACTGGAGAACTTGGTACCTGCTTTTACGGAGTGAGTAGCAATCGTTTCATAACAATTGTTCACGAAAAAGATATACTGCATTTCGCAAGTATATAATACATAGTACATAATACATATTATTCCAGATTATTATTAGAATTATCTTCTTTGGAAGGTTATCTAAGAGTTCAAATGGAAGCAATTTTCTTTTCGTCGATGATTGAAGAATGGATAGGCACCAATATTCAGCCGATGAAAATAAAATTAATAGAACTAAAACAGATGACGGAGAATCAGTTAAAAATAAATAGTCGTGTGTAATAATTCTTTCGCTTGAAAAATTGACGATCAATCCGAAATATATAACAATATGATTTTGAAAAGCAATTACGATTAATGATTGGATAATCAACTATTTCTTCAATGTAGGATGAAATTATTTTTGTATATAGTAAATCGCTATGTATAAAATGTCTACTACTTTGACGTTAACTTATTTTTAAAAAGAGAAATATAACTGAAAAATTAAAAGAACATATATAGTTTTCTAAAGAAGATACGAATTATTTTAGTACTACATACAAAAAGCAAGAAGCTTTTGTCGATATATGAGATACTCTGTGATATCTTGGCTATGAAAGGGTAACTATGATTAAATTACAAACAATATTTAATAGTTAAGGGATAATCCCTTGTTGTTTAAACCCCGTATTTTTATTTCAAACATTTGCAACTATCAATTTTTAATAAACAAATGTCTCTTTTCTTGTGTAGATTTAGTAAGATTGTGAGATTAATAGACTTGAAATAAGAATATGTGCATTATGGATGGTATACAGTGTTTTATTTGAAATGATACACAGTCGATCTTGAAAGAAAACCATTTTTTTTTACGTTTCAGATAAAAAAAGTATGGAGGTATAAGTTTGAAAAGGGTTAAAATCAATTTTTCAACTGCTATTATGCACAATGAAATACCTTATATTCTTACATCATGGTATTACTTAAAATGAAACACCATATACTCCATATACATATATAAGATATCATTTCATCAATTCAGTCAATTTTCTTTAAAAGTATTGATGATATAAAATGCGTTTTAGATGAAAGTAGAATTTCGAAGAGAACATATTTAAACACGTTCTTTTCTTTTAGGTAGAGATGTCAGAAAGATATGAGAAGGTCATTTCCCCTTTTTTAAATTTAAAACTAAATTATATAATTTATCTCAGGTAATCTAATTCTTTTAATTATTCTGTATATAAATACTAAAGTAGAGAAATAGAAAAATTAATAATTTACGAGATATTTCATATTTCATTCTCGCAAATTTTGATATCAAATATAAAATATTTCGTTTTTGCTAACTAAAAATTTTGTGCTAACTATAATCTTATACTTTTATGTATAATAATGACACGAATCAAACAAGTAAAGAAAATACATTATCATTTATAAAAAAAATGCATATTGCATAATTAAAAAAAAACTTTTTATCTCAATTATCTTATTACTTGATGCATAAAAATATTAAAGTACAGTAATAAAAAATGAATAGTTACGAAATATTTTATATGGTATGTCACGTCAAAATATACCAAAAAAGCATAAAAAACTGATAAACTATTTATTTCTTGATATCTCTGCCTCAATATTTTTATATACAGATTAATTAGAGGAATCATATGTAAAAAAATTATATAATTTGATTTTAAAAAGTGAAGGTGACCTTCATATCTTTTTGATGCCTTTACTTAAAAAAAACTGGCCAAAATACGTCTCTCATGAAACTGTTTCACTTTTATATAAAAACTTTTTTTTACATCAATTTTGAATAAAATCGACTGGATTAATTAAAATGGAACATTCTGTATATACTATCTTTATGATTAGATACATCCTTTACAGCCTTTTCTATATAGAATATCTCAAACTTTTTGACACATCGCTTGTGGGCAGATAGAACGGAAACTGATCGTAATCGCAAAATGTTGAGGATTTTT